GCTGGATGGACTTTTAACCTGACCCAGCCTGGCCGTTCTCATGTTTTTAACCGGGCTGACATTGCCTGGAGTGTGTTCGAGTCGAGTCACGCAATCAGCTCTGACAGCAGCGCTGTAGAGGTGGCGCAGCGGCTGGGAAAAGGAATAGCTGTTCACAGCTTGCTTTTCATTCATGTCGGCAAAGCTCAAGCCCCAGTGACTGCTTCAGATTGAATCGTCTGCCCCTAAAATAAAAATACTAAGCAAATCACATAGGCAGTTAAGCCCTGACAGAAGCAATACAAAAGAAAAGGGGAAGGGTGGATATGCATACATTTATGTCAGAATAGGGTGGAGGCAATCTAGAAGATCTCAAATACAAAGTTAATACGTTGCAAAAGTCCTATTATTATGAATAAAATGTAAATGACCCATTTTTAGAAAAAAAAAATCAATAGAGCTTCTCAATTTAAGAATGGCATAACTAAAAAGTATCTAACTATATTGTGCAAACCTGAACATCATTTTTAAGAGGGAGCAAAACCACACACAAGTGCTCGGGCTTTTGTGGCTGCTCTGCCCTTCACAGTGGGAGGGAGCAGCACCCACAGCCCTGCCGCTGCTCCCGCAACGCCTGGGGAGAAGCTGCCATCGCACTTTTCCCACCTCATCGATACTCTGTCAGCTCTTATTTAGCCCCTATATTCAGAAACACAAGTGCCAGAGCCATGCTCTTACTAATGGCCCTTTGCACGAATAAAATTATTGAAATTCCTTTAGATATAAAGTTAAAGGAATTTGCTGCGTGATGCCACGGGGCGCAGCTCGGTTCATGCACCGCAATGCACAGTGTCTTGTTTGTGAGTGGGATTAACACCAGTTCACAGCATCCACCTGACAGACTTTGATCTGTTCTGATGTACCTGTGTAGCTATGCCACCGGCTAAAGCCTCCAGCCTTAGGCTATTCGCCGCTTTTTATCCTTGTTTTAGTTACCATCTCTAATGCATAAGAAACGTGTCATGAGCCATGACAAGCAATTGAGATAAATGCCAGCCCCTGTAAACCTTCAGAGGAGAGGCTGCATTTCCATTATGTTTCAGCACATATGTGGAAGCCATCAGAAACCAGCAAGGTATAAATAAACACAATTCTAATGCCAAGTGCCCACAATTAAAAAAAAAAAAAAAAAAAGTTATCTTCTACTCCAGTTACTTGCTTCCCCAAGACCTTTTACCAAACCAAGGAAGACAGCATTTAATCTATTTATTTCTAAGGTTAAGCAAAAACAATTTTAATGCATTTTCATAAGCCATAGAGAAGTGCACAAGCTCATTTTCCCTTCTTAGATCACCTTTATCACGAGAGCTTTATTCTAATGAAACATAAATGTGCTTTCTAGTCAACAGTATTACTGAGGTCCATCAAAGTTTCAGGATTACAGACATGAATTTTACTCTTTTTTTAGTTTTATTTGCAAAGAAGCTAAAAATGCTGAGCTCCCTCTGCATGAGGACTCTCAAGTACCTCTCTATCAGCTTATACCTTGCTAGTGGAGTGGGATACATGTGGTACACATCTGAAATACTAAAACGGAGCCCTTTTCCACAGTGTAGAAGTTTTTCATTTTTCAGGTTCTGCATTTTTCCTTCAGCCATCTGTCAGGTTTATGTGTTTCTCCTGTTCTTCCACCCCACGTTAAAAACAGAAGACCACCTCCTGGGGAAAGGCATTCTCCCCCACACCCTACTGACTTTTTATTTTCGGGTAGCCAACATTCAGGTCAAGTCAGATCCTGTACTAGCAAGAATTTGATACTCTGCCCTACCTCACAGCAGATTCAGGTCTCTACCCTTGTTTTCAAAGCATTTTGTCAGTAGATACAGTCTAAATCTCTGAAACAGCCATTCTGGCCCAAGAACTGAAGTAGTTACAATTATTACTTCTCATATACATATACTAGGTAGCAAACCTGAGCTTCATTTAAACAAAAATAAACTGTTTCACCCCGGTAACTAAATGCGGTGGTTAGCAATAGCAAACCTTCCTAGTTGGACCCTCTTCACCTCTTGCAGAGGGAGCTGTGGCATTTGTGGCTTGTGTAGCGCTTTTCATGCGATGTAATCCAGTGATTACAACAACAGTCCTAGACAAGTAATAGGAAAGCTTTAATCAGCTGTTTTTTCTAGTACAATTAAATCATTGTGAAGTGCCTCTCTAAGGGCAGAGGTATATGCAGAAATTGAAGTAATTCAGGAACAAATTACACAGTCCTTGTGTTAAGCAAAAATACTCTTTTTTTGTTTTCACTAGTAGAGCTAACCAGCTATCTAGAAGAAATATTTTGAAACACTGTAATTTAAAAGCCACCAAACCATCAAAAGCAGTACAGGAACTTCTGCACAACCGCTTTGGTTTTTGGGCTGCCAATCTCTAGGAAAGCTCTCAGTTAACGAACCGATTACGCACTGTAGGCAGGTTCCAGCCAGCAGGTTAGGACCGTGCCCGTCGCCTGCGGTCCCCGCTCACGAATCCCAGGGCGGATGAGCCAGGCGCCCACGCTCTTCACACCAGCCTGGAAGCCACCCAGGGCAGCTGGCCCAATAGCCATGTTCCAATTTTTCAAGCCAAAATAAGCTCTTTGTCTGATCTCGGTGGGTTTATTTCCTGGAATTATATGGAGTTTTGGAGAGGGTTAGAAGAACAATATCTTTGAAAGATACAGTGGCTTCTAGCTCCAGAAGTACTTTCTCTGAAATACGCTTCACTTCAGCAGGCACAGCATACCATAGCTTGATTACTAACGGTAGCTGTTACGTTGTGAATTTAACCATCAGCAATAAAATATAAAAGCATAATCAACCACCCTAATTTACTCTGCTCACACTGTAGTAAAGGCATTAACCTAAATTAGACCTTACAGTTATGCCTGATCATGTAGTCATTTTTTACAGTCATCCAAGATGAGGCATAAAGAAATGCAAATTTCAACAACAAGCATGCACTAGTTAAACTGACTAAAGAGGTATCTTTTGTTCAGATCTAAACTGATATTTTAAGTGTTTACATTAATGTATTAGGAAAGGCTGGTCAGCACTTCAGAGCTCTATAGGGAGCTTTGTTTATTTAAGGCTGTGATTTTTAACTAAAATATTTCTACCTGCTCAACGTGGGTTGCTATTACACGAATATAAAGGGGACTCCAAGAGATAGCCTCCTTTCCCATTTTCATCTCCTGCAGCTTATTCCTAATCCAACTCCATCCCATTTTCTACTGACAAAACCATTTACATAGCCATCCACCAAAAAGAAATGAGAGGCTAATTCAGGTTAAAATCAACTCTTTTGGGAAATGGGGTTTTTATTTCTTGCCAGTAGCAGTAATAATATTTGCCAACACAACTGCTGAGCAGTAGGGAACAAGATTTCTTAGAACTGTATAACCACTAAGTAGAAAGGTACACAGCACCATACTCTTAGTCCGTTTTAAAGCAAAACTAAAGGTTACCTTGAGCCCTTCCTTAAAGTAGCCTGGTTTTCTCTGCACTGAACCAGAGGAAAAGCATGTCCATGTTCAGCCATTATAATTCAGGTGGGACTGAGGTGATACCAGGTCAGAGCATGCAGCTGAGGAGTGTTAACATCACCAACTACTACAGCAGTTTCAGAAGCAAAGCTATTACACGGAAGCAATTTAGGTCTGAATTCACACTTAGATTTGTGTTTACTTTCTGAAGACTTACATTTACAGACAACTGTGGATATAACCTCGGTACCTCTATTTCCAGACAAAAATGCATCAAAGTGTGTCTAGAATATTTTTGTAATACATTTTCACAAGGAAATATTTGCAGATATGCCAGCTGAATCTTCTTGGTGCTTCTATTTCAAGATATCATGTTGTGTGTAGTGCACGTGTTGTGTGTAATAACTTTTGTGCTGTACTTGTAAGACGCAGACAGACAGTAGACAGATAGAGATACTATGACACAGTAATATTAACAGGTCAGAAAATAGCTCAAAAAGTACAACATGCATGATCTCAATTTCTAGCAAAATCACTAAAGACCACAAGAGATGCTCAGTGAAAATGCTCCCAAAGACCTCAATGGCTTTGGGAACACACCGATAATTTAAGGCAACTCCACCTCTGTTTTACTCTTGAAATACATTCAACTCTCACTTCACCACGCGCAGTTTGCCCTTGATGCAGATTAACCACATTATACATGAAGACACCAGAGAGTTAACCCTGCGTAAAGTCAGATCTGGCCAAGGAGGTTTTGTTAGCTCCCGTGCAGTGCCCGGAGAGCACAGCTCCCTTGCTCCCACACCAGCTCAGCAATGCAGATAACCCTCTGAAAGTGGCTGTGCTACCAAACCCTGATGGAGCTGAGATGACCACATATTTCAGTGCCTTTGCACTCTGTCACCAGCATTTGCTGTAAATGCTTATATTGTCTGAGACTTGCAATTATCCATTTGCCTTTCCCCTTCTCCTGCCCTGATAACAGAAACTCGCCTCTACAGCCATAAGGATGTATAGATGAGTCTTCAGGAAAGAATGCCTTCATGCATGAAGTTGCGCTTTTGCTTTAGCATAAAGAAATACACCTGACTGGGTGGGTAAAACACAGTGAAGATGGCATGAGATACAAGAAAACACAGGCAAATTATCAACTTATTTGTCTTAAATGTAAGTCAAATAAAGACACAAGCTTCTTTTATAAAGTGCAAGCCCAGAGAAAATAGTGCTTTTGGTCAGAAAGAGACCCACGTTTACATTCTACTGTAAGACACTGATTTTATCAGCAAGGTCATTAGTTGTGAGAGCTAGGGGAAGCAAAGCTTGACAGTAATTGCATTGTGCTATATACACAGGTTCTCCAATGAGAGAGGAATGAGGTCTGCTATCTTTGCTTCCCCATGTTAATAAGACAGCAATGACAATTCAAATACTTCAATAAATGACAAAAGGGAACAGTGTTACAAAACCCCCTCTTAAGTCCAGCCTGACTCACCTGACTTCCTTGCTTTCAAGGCAATGACAGCAGCCAGTTCTCTCTGTACCTAAAATACCAGGAAAACAAAGGATGGTTTTAGTTACTAGCACAGCCAAACAAAACAAATCAACACCGGTAAGATACTGGCTATCAATCCTTTGGAGCAATCAACTGCACGTGGAATTATGCAGGTACTTGGTTTTGAAACTACAGTCACTTTTCCCAGCAAATCTATTTCCTTTTCAGCTGGGAATTCTGTGACAACTTTTTTTTTTTTTTAACTTTTATTTCATGTAAATACTGCACATTCCTTAGGGAGTGGGCAATGCAGTAGCACAACCTGTAATCTATTTGCACAGCATATCTCTTTCCCAAGCACACACTTGAAGCTTCTTCCTTTCCTCGTTAAATGTTTGGTTTGCCTGTGCTGAGCACACTGTAATGCTGGATTTATTGTGTGACTCCAGGATAAGCGAGTTCTCCATGCTGAGGTTTGGCTGAGGTTCACGTATATAACTGACATTCGCTCTTTGGAGCTTTCAGGAGGAAACAGTCTCTCCTAATAGCATGGCTGAGGGTTTCAAGACCAAAATTTAGCTGGAGATGAACATGCAGAAGTCAGAGCTATCTGATTTCCAGATTTATGGGCTATCTCACTAGCCTGTGATGAAACAGCCCTGCCATGCTAGCCAGCTCCCTTCCTCAGCCTCCTCTCTCTGCATTCTTCATATTTTCCCAATAATCTTTACACAACCGGCTATTGTCCCTTTAGCCAGCTCAGCTCTACATCCACTTCTCTCCACAGGTCTGTTCCTTTTTCTATCAGTAAAATTCTGTATTGTGCACTATTTTTATGCCTCATACTTCCTCACTGTCATCGTCTGTCCCATTGCGGCTGCGCCAAGTGCCCTGCACTTGACCTACAGCACCCCAGACACTCTCCTGCACACACCTCAGTTCCTCCCTTCCTCTGCTCCATCCATGTTCTTAGACTCTTCTCTACACCTCCCAGCATCTTCCAATTTCCCTCATTTTCCAAAGACAGCCTGTCTTTAGTATTAAAAAAAAAAAAAAAAAAAAAAAAAGAAGGGGACATTCCAACTATTTTTCTAGGGATTGTCTTACCTGTCTGTACAAAGTCTCCCACAGTGCATACTACCCATCTTGTCTAACAGACCTATGCAAAGCTCAAGGCTATTCTGCCATGGGAGTTTTGACATCCAGTTTCTGAGAGCATGTAAAATTTAAAACACCATTCACAAGTATTTTGGTATGATCAGAATAAGGCACAAAGCCCATGAAGGATCCCCGAAGTAACACAGTTACTATCAACTGTCAACATCCTGCTCTCACGACTCTGAAGAAAAGTTCGAAAAAGTGAAACAAGAATAGTTAACATGACATTGGTCTGAGCAGAAAAAAAAGACAAAATCACCCAGGACATCTCAGTACAACAGTAACTCCAGCATCTGCTGATCAGATACTCAGCAGCCACCCAGCAGTATGCTCTACATGTGGCAGAAGGCAGTCGTACCAGAGGCCATATCCTTCCTCTGCTTGCATCCTTCCTTCCCTTGTGGCAAAGGACAAGAGAGCTTTTTTTGCTGTCCTTGCAAGGTACACGGATCTTTCTACTCCTTGATGCTGCCCCACTGAGAGGGACAGAGTTTTCTGCCACTCCAGGCAGGAAAATATGAAAGCAGTGCCACAGTTTTCTTAAATGTCGTCCTGTTTCCAGTACAATTGTGCAAGCTGGCAGTATTACCTTCCCTTCCTTCCTTCCTGTACACTCATTCCCATGTCTGGAGAACTGTTAATCATGGTTAATGTAAGCATAAACTGCAAGTAAGATAGGAAAGATCTGTTCTTCTGTGGAAAAACAATTTGTATGCTTGCTTGCTTGCAGCAATTAATATACACTAGTAATAATACATACAAACTATCCAGACTTAGAGTAGGATTTTCAATAAAAGCCCAAGTTATTTCTGAATAACACTGCCATGACTTTTTGTGGCTAAATTGCTCAGACCCTCTCCCTTCATTAAACTCAGCAGGAGGTACCAATGTGGATGCCCCGATCCTGGTCTGTTCTCACAGGTTACTGACAGTAAGACACAGTGCACTGATGTATCATCCTTATCTTTTAGCATTTAATAAATACATTATCTCAAGATTAGCCTTAGGAGACACTACAATCTGCAACAGTTGTAGACATACCAATTAACCCAATCAAACAATTGAAAAATGCAAGTTTCTCTATGAGTGTAAAGAAAAAAAGCAGCATTGTGGCATCCTGTGGTTCTACTTGCAGTATTACTTTTGCTTATAAGGTGGCGCTGTTCAAGTCTGAAAGACAGGGCGAACATCAAAGGCAATAAAAAGGCTGTTTTTCTGTGTTTTGTCTATGTTATGCAAAATCACAGAATCATAAAATTGTCTAGGTTGGAAGGGACCTTTAAGATCATCAAGTCCAATCATCAACACAACACTGCCAAAACCACCACTAAACCACGTCCCTCAGCACCATGTCTACCCATCTTTTAAATACTTCCAGTGATGGCGCCTCTGCCACTTCCCTGGGCAGCCTGTTCCAATGCTTAACAACCCTTTGTGTGAGGAACTTTTTCCTAATATCCATCCTAAACCTCCCCTGGCGCAATGTGAAGCCATTTCCTCTTGTCCTATTGCTTGTTACTTGGGAGAAGAGACTGAACCCCACCTTGCTACAACCTCCTTTCAGGTAGTTGTAGAGAGCGATAAGGTCTCCCCCTCAGCCTCCTCTTCTCCAGGCTGAACATCCCCAGTTCCCTCAGTCGTTCTTCATAAGACTTGCTCTTCAGACCTCTCACCAGCTTCATTGCCCTTCTCTGGACATGCTCCAGCACCTCAATGTCTTTCTTGTAGCGAGGGTCCCACTACAACAATATCTCATTGTTTGCTGTGTGCCAGGAAGGCAGCTGGAATATTTCTTAACCCAAGCAAAACCCTTCGGTTAAAAAAGAAGAAAAAATTGTTCCTCTAGCCTTAATATAATAGTATTAGTTAAAACGTTCCTTCACCAAAGGGTTTTATCCTGATGGTCTGATCTCCCCCTCATAGGACTCACTCAAATCACAGAATTGGTACTGCTGAGCATCCTTCTGGATTTACCTGGTGTCCCTAGATTTCATAATCTATATGCTTTTGTCTATTTTAGCGTAAATGCACTTGACATCTCTGCTGGACATGCAATTCCTATGCATCATTACACTGATGGAAATCCGTGTGCAACATTCATTCCTCACTGCACACATGCTACACGTTATCATACTTCTTCCTAATAGGATTTCAGTTACTGCCTGTTTGACAAAATCGATAGTTGCACATCACATTGAAGATAATAATGTGGACTCAAAGTAAAATACACATTCAAATAAGAGCTATTCCTACCATAATAAATTGAGATATTAAGTACAAAAAATTGGTTTATACATATAGCTTGTCGCTACAAAGCTAACACTATGTAAATAGTATCCTATTTTGAGCAGCATTGCAGGTGTCAAAACTGATCCAGTTTCAAGGCTAGCTTACCACACAGGATTTAAAGAAATATTATGAAAGTCTGAAAAAGAATGTTTTGAGTGTGTTGTTGGCATGTTACCACATCGTAATCAGTTTTCTTTTTGCAATATGGAAGAGCAAGAGTGCGCATACAGAGTGGTACCCACATATACTTCTGTTTGATTAAATACAAATGGCACATTTATACGGTGAATCTTCTCAGCTTCAAAGGACAGAGGTAGAGATTTTTCAAAAGTAAATGACAACTACTGTTCTTCTCTTATCCATGAATCTGGTCATTTTATCACAGAAGGCATAGCTGTGCATCTAGTAGACAGTGCACACCAGCTATACTTTTTTCCCCTCTCTTTTTTCTGCCTATAGTAGTCTTTTGTGAAACAGTATTCTAGATGTCAACATGCCAAAGAGGACTTCAGATCTAGAGACAAAGTGGCAATCCTTACAGAATCTCAAAATGAAATCCTACAACAGAAAGCTCTAAACTGCTGAGTTTTGAAAAAAGAAAAAAGTCTAGTTCACATTTTTGCATCTCAAGTAATGATAGTTTGATGGACTCTAAATAAAAGTAGTATTGGTTGACATCTTAAAGTACCAGAAAACTGTATTTCCCATATACACTGCCTGAACATCACGATATTCTCTTCTGTCCCATCACAAAGTAAGGTAAGGGCTTTGCAGTGGAAACACTCATAGCCATCCCTCTGTACTCTGGTTTTAGCAGACAAGACATTGAATATGAAGCTGCTCTTTGGGACGTGACATGGGATGCATGACAGCTCTGGAAAGCTTCTTTAAACCCAGGAGTATTCATAGCATTTTCTTAAAAATTCATGACCAAAAAGATTATCCGATGCAAACGTATTTCAACGGGCACTTTGCACTGCTTGCATGTCAGCTGCCTTTACAATTTAAGTTTAATGGTGTTGTCAGTGCCTCATTGTAATGGAGCATATGATATGAGCATATAATTCAATAGGATTCATTCAGTTATCTTGACTGACTCTGCTTCTTCCATCATAGAATACAGCATAAAGAAAAAGTGAAACCTGCAACAAGTTAGTTTCTTATCTTTTGTATTTGACTCTGCTCTTTAAAGCGGTGTATTCCATACATTATGCACAAATTAAGATGATAAAGAAACTTCTGCAGTTTTTTCCCTGCTGCCCTTCTGACTTGGCATCATTCCGAAGCTATCACTGTTATCTTCCACAATCTCCGTAACCATTGTTAAAACCAAGAGTGCATTTCCCTAACTAATCAGTTCTAGCCTGGCTGAACCATCAAAAAAAAAAAAAAAAACCCCACAAAAAAAAACCCACACAAACTGTGCAGCGAATGTGAAAGGTGGAACTCTACAAGAGAAACAATACCTGGTAACAAAAAGCAGTAGGGAATACATAATAAGAGAAAGGCCAACACAGAAAGTCAGGCCACGGTAAAGAAAAAGAGGTGGAGAGAAGAATTCACCAAACTTGTACAGATGCCTATGTCTGTGCTACTCACTCTATAACCCCTTCATAGAGACTGCGTACCTTACCAGCGGACCCAAAGGTACAACTATTTTTCCCTAAAGTAGAATTTCTAAATGAACCATACATTCAGCATCCCCAAAGTGCCTGTTTCCGCTCCCCAGCTGTAAGGAGTGCCTGGGGAAGCTCACTCAGATGTAGATGCCTGCCATATGACCACTTGTATTTAGGTGAGGTGACTTCTACCCTCTGCAACAACAATGGCTTTTATTGAGTTACAGAAATATATAATGAGACATTACATGCATGCATGCATGCTTAGAGTTTTTCTTGTGCTTTCAGATGCTAAAACAGTGAGTTATATTTTAGGCACACAGATTCCTCCAGTGTTGCTTGGGCTGGATCTTCACAATCAGTTTAGTTTTGAAAATTTGGGAATTCAATCCCCAGAGAAAGAAAAGGTGTCACAGAAACATATTCTGACCTGACACAGTACATTCTATTCCATTACAAGAAAAGCAAAAAGAAAAGCAGAAGAGATGGTGGTACTATCAACACTAATGGGATTTGAACCTCCAAACCTAGAAATGTACAAAAAAAGTCAACTCTAATCTCTGACTGCTTTTAGTGCTGGGCTGGAAGGAAGGTTTTTGAATGTTTTTGGTTTTTTGGTTTTTTTTCACTTCTGAAACCCTGGTCTGAAGAGTATTGTGAACAGGATTCTGAATTATGAATTCCTCAAGGAGGAGTGGTTTGATTCTATACAAAATATGTAAACATTCGGTGAGCCAAAAAGCAAGGCAGTGTGAACACATTTCCAGTCATGGCTAATACCTTCACTTTTGGTTTCCAGCTCCTGCTCACAGGGCTTTTTTTTCCCCACACAAATTCTGAAGCTGGCAGCAAAAAAAATAAATTGATAACCTGTGTTCTGGTGAGTCCAGCCCTCTGCTGAGTGGTGCAAGATGAGGACTTAAATGCCCTGGGGACACATAAAGGCTCTCTGCAAACTTGCAGTGAGTACTTTAGATCCCAGTCTACTATATGGAAGAAAAGCAATATTCTGGACAGATAAGAGGGAGAAGTTCATATACAGTTGTTAATATTTGGAGGAGTCTGCTCTGGTCTGACATCTTTTCCCCAGGGCTAGACTAGAAAATTGTTACAGAGAGCCTGCACAGTTTTGTGGAAAGTCAGAAAACGCAGGCGAAAAGATCAGTCTTTTTGATGCCCCCAAGACAATAGATGGGTCTTGGGCCATCTGGATATGCAACTGCCTAATTTTTCTTTAGCTAGTTAGCTACAGAAATAACACGGTTCATTTAGAAAAAGACCTGTCCATGTGCCCTGCTGCTGGAATGACTCAGGATGTAGCTCAAAGGTTTGACCTTGCAAGCTAGACGTGAAGCACTCTGAACCCACTGTGAATTACTCACATGTTTAAGAATACGCATTTTACTCAAGTGTATCCAGCAACAGTTAGATCCAGTTCTTAAACTCGGAAAGTCACTTTGTTCTGTTGAGTGCTTCCCTTTTTTTAACTGATGAAAAAAACAGTATTATTCTATTTTTAAGAGGCAAAACTTTTGAGGGATACTGGCAATGTTTTATAGAGTTGGTAGTTTTGTGAGTTTTAGAAAATATATTAGTTTGCAAAAAGTATTTTATGTTTTTCTATTTTTTCTCTCTATGGAACTAAAAATCAAGGATATTGAGGTTCTGAATTCTCCTTTCATTTTCAGTTAGGAAAAAAAGGTAGATGAAGCAAGGAATTTGAATATAGGGAAAATAAAAAAAAAATAAATTTTAAAACACAAAATTTTCTCATTTGAAATTATTTTTGCATAAGGTTGAACATACAGAACCACTGGCTTTCCAAACACATTACAAAATGTCTTTTGTAAAGACATTTGCCTTTACAAAATGTAGCACAAGTTCTCCTTCCCTTCCATTTTTCAGCAATTTCAAGATAGTACTTTATTCATTTTACTTAAAATAGCTCTTATCCTCATGCCTTTTTCATAGCAACTTCACCCTGCTTGGTTCACTTTCATCTCTGTACTTTCTCACGTACTCAAAACAGAACTAGCACTAATTCCACATTTTGCTGATACCATGATTTAGGTGTGATGCTCGCAGAACCATACCATCACAGAATGGTTGAGGTAGGAAGGCACCTCTGGAGGTCATCTGATCCAAACCCCTGCTCAACAGCAGGGTCAGCTAGAGCAAGTTCCTCAGGACCATGTCCAGTTGAATTCTGAACATTTCCAAGGATGGAGACTCCACTACCTCTATGGGTAACCTATTCTACTGTTTGATGACCCTCATGGTAAGTAAGTTTTTTCTTATGTAGAATTTCTTGAATTTCAGTTTGTGTCACTGCTTCTTGTCCTGTCACAAGACATCACCAAGAAGAGCCTGGCTCTATATTCTTTATTCCCTTCCATCAGGTATTTATACACATTGATGAGATCCTCCCATAGCCTTCTGTTCTCCAAGCTCAACTCCCAGTTCCCTCAGTCTCTCCTTGTAAGTCAAATACTGTACTCCCCTGGTCATCTCCATGGTCATTCACATACACTCCCGCAAGTCCACGTCTCTTGTACTGAGAGTTCAGAACTGGACCCAACACTCCAGATGTGTCACACCAGTGCTGAGTAGAGGAGAATGATCACCTCCTGATCATTCCCAAAGGTAACACTAACACAGCCCAGGAGGCAGTTGGCTTTCTTTGCCACAAGGGCACACTTCTGGCTCATGTTCAACCTGCTGTCCACCAGGACCCCCAGGTCCTTTTCTGCAAAGCTGCTTTTCAGACAGTCAGCCCCCAGCTTGTACAGGAGCAGGAGGTTATTTCTCCCAGATGTAGGATATTGCATTGCCCTATATTGCATTGCCCTTTGTTGAACTTCATGAGATTCTTTTTGGCCCAGTTCCCAGATGTAGGATATTGCATTGCCCTTTGTTGAACTTCGTGAGATTCTTTTTGGCCCAGCTGTTCAGCCTGTCAAGGTTCTTCTGAATGGCAGGACACCGGTCTGGTGTATCAACTATTCCTCCCAGTTTTGCATCACCTCCAACTTGTTGAGTTATGCACTCTGTACCATTGTACAGATTTCACTAGATTGAGTGAATCTATCTTAACCTTCTGAAGTCCTGTCTGTCTGCTTCTTAGAACAATGAGCGTAACAAGATGGAAATGACGCACCAAACTCTAGCACAGACAGGATACCCTGTTGTTTATTATGACAGAGTTTATTGAGGCTAACCATAGTTGGGAAGCCAGATACCCAGGCCTCCCAGGTGGGTCTCCTCAGAAGATTATGATAATCTATGCCAGGGCTGCTGAGACCCTTTCTCTCCCGTTGTCCCCCACCCCATCATTGTCTTCACACTGATGTCCACTCGACCAAGAAGATCTGAGTGTAAGCTACCTGTCAGAAAAATCACCATGGTCCTCCAAATTGGTATCTCCTGTGCCATGAATAGCATGGATTACAAGAGAGCAGGCTGCAGCAGTCCTTGCTCGGGCTGATTTTAATAGCTTTGGAATTGCACACTTAAACCTCAGGGAAGTTTCCTCCTTTTAGACAGAAAAAAAAGTAGTTTGCATTACAAACACCTGCTCACTAAGACTAAGTCTTTAATTTGAAAGGATCCAAAACATGACAATATTTCAAACGTGATCAGTACAAACTTTGATGCAGTGACCTTACCGCAGAAGTGAGACGAGCAAGAATTTCAGCATTGGTTTCTGCCGTATCTTCTATTTTTTGATCAGGCCTTAAAAGAATAAAAATAAGATTTTATTATTTCTTTCGTTCTGTTTCAACATCTTTTGATTCCTGGAAAGCAAGGAACTGTGTAGCCACAGGCACTAATGTAAAAGAGCCTTTGAGATTCCACATCAAAATGACGACTGCAAATGACAATAATTAATTGTGTCAGTAACAACAGAGTACACCCTGTGTCCCTTGCTGTCAAGAACTCTTTTGATTGGACTAACGCAAAACAGTGAGAGAATTCTTCAGCTATAAAAATTAGATACAGAACTGAAGAACATAGGACCCTCTTAGCTCAGAGTTGCTTATTTGAATGCGTACTTTGCTCTGCTAAAAACACACTCCATCAAATGAGCAAAGAGTTTTCCATCTGCCCACTACCCAGCTTTGCTAAGGTGTGGAGGAACACCTATGGAATGCAAGCACACATAGATAAAAGCAGACAACATCAAAATCATTATGTGACACATGAAGTTCAATATTTAAGAAAAAACGTGAAAATTAAAAGAATACATGTAAGAAACCATAAATTAGCAAACTAAAGCAACGGCTGAGAACACTATTAGGTTGTCTTAACAGTTACTCACAAGACAGAGAGACATAATGTGTCTTTGCAAGAGTGGGGCAGCGGAGGAAGAATCCTTCTCAAAACTGTCACAGAAGCCTGGCCCACGTGGAAAAAGCCACACAAAAACTGTTGTGGACAGCACGGGATAGGACTGCATTTTTCTTTAAAACTAATTCCCTCTCTAATTCCCTCTACTAAAACACCTGCCAGCCTTTTGGAAGGTTTATGGATAATCAGAAGAAAGATACCAATACAATAGGGTTATTACTATGGGAAGAAGAAAAGGAAGACGCCCTTGAGATCTTTACTTTTCATGATATTTAAGAAGTGTGGCATGTGTGCAAACTGAGCAGATACACAAATTGCAGCTACTGTAATAAGCATAAATCCCAGGTTTTAGCAGAAGCTTCTTTGACTAAATTATTTAATTGCTCGTATGCCTTGATGTGTTTAGGGAGAGAGCTGACAATGTCTGGAATATGCAGCTGGTATATTGTGGTTCTTACGTCCCATGTCCAAAAATTCCTTTCTCTGATTAAAAAAATGAGGTCAGAAAGCACAGAACGACACATGCATTCATTCTGGGGCAAGCATATTCAGACCAAAATGGTAATTCAGATTAGAAATCAGAATTATTTTCACAACAGCCTTTCTTATTCAAAGAAAAATGTGATTTAACATTTTCAGTGTTACAAACAGCCCAAAAGAAATACATGAATGCAGTTTCTTTTACAAAGACTGATTTATTCAGTCTTTCTCTTTATAATTTGGAATGAGATTAAAATAACTGACCTCTTTAGATGCCTATGTTTCCCT